CCTCATCATTTCATTTTCTGTTTTCACTAACCAATGGTATACTCAATAGTTCGTCTGATAGAAAATACTCCAAAAACATATTTTAAATTTTGAAACATGTTCTCCTACTCCAAAAACATATTTTAAATTTTGAAACATACGGAACTGCCAGATAAATCAAGCAACACGATGTGTCCGCTGGTCGCCCGCGTGCTGCACCATGTTCAGCACATGGTCCACATTGGACCAGCATGTGTCTCCGGGCAAAAGTAGGGTCACATTCGCGGTCACGACGCCATGCAACCACTATTAACCCACTCCAGAAAATTTTTTCCGAAGTTTGGCGTAATGGTTACATGTGTAGTGTAACCCGCGGGGGGGGGGGGGCAGTGTGACCCGCTAAACAAGAATATTGCAACGATTCGATGTAAGGTAGAGAAAAACTTTCCAGCGAAGCAGATTTGTCGATGAAAGGTGCTTTGGGGCTTGCGCCGGACACTTTTGTGCCTAGCAGGTGTGCTGTTAGGTGGGAGGGGGGGGGGAGGTTAAACGGTTCCTGTGGACAAATCTCAATACAACTCTAGCAAAACTTCTGATCGTGAGGTGTAACAGTGCAAACTGAAGGCATCGCGCTAGCATCCACTGGACTGTCAACGAATACAGTGGAGACTAACCTGCGATGGCATTACGCTCTCGGTGTCCGTCTCGCCAAACAATCTCCGCCCATTCCACAAGACACCGCCTTTCCGTCAAGCGGGAACCACTTCCCACCGCTTAGTAATGGTTAAATCCCAAAAAGTAAACTTTAAGTGGACAAGTAGGATATTTTTTCTTTTGCTAGTTCCTCTCTGCGAGAAAGCGATCAATCACACTTGCAATTGAGCTTTTTCACCGTTATTTCGGCTCCAATGACATATTGGTCATCATTACTTTCACTTTTTACTGCAGACACCTGCATAAAAGATAGAGAGGCTGTAACAATTATCGTGATCGTTGCATTTAATGCAGAACAGATGTGTTGCACCTTGATAGGCGAAGGAAAAACGACTGGCGCCGAAGAAACTGCCTCTACTCTTATCTAAGGTCTCGTGATGAGAAATTGATCACTTGCGGTATTTCGCAACAAGGAATTTTCGAAATTTCCAGGCGCAGGTCTTCGAAGGGGTGTGGGGGGGGCGTGTTGCACTTTGGCTGCTTCATTAGTTCCCGTATCCTGGCGAAACATGTGAACTCTTGTAAATTCCTGTCAACCGTTTGACAACTCCAGGAGCTTGCTCCAGGTTTCACAAGAGTTGACAGGTGATTTCTGAATTTTGGCTGAAATCGGCTGAATTCTCAAGTCTACACTTGATGGCTCGACACGTCGCTGGGAGGTAGCAAAAGTGTGAAATGCTCCCCCTAACGTCGCCGAACTGCGCCTAATTTTCATAGAAGCTTCTGATAGGGCCGTGCTAACGCGAATTCTGATCACGGAATCTCAAGGGGATCGGGAAGCTCACATCTTCACGACTTTCCAGTGTTCTGGCCTGTTGAGCGTTCCATAACAGCCCGACTAATGCCCCATTAAAGAATGAGGGAGCAAGAAGCCCCTCATAAGAGGACCAAATCAAATTTCAAGCACAACATAAGGGGTTACTGTACGACCCCCAGGGGATTCGGAACTACCAGCATGCCTTGGCCGCCCTTGAGCAGAAAAAGCTGTTCCTCGGGAGCTCGAAGTTGTGGCGGCACGGCGTTAGCAGCCTTGCAAGTGGCGTGACATGGGCGCCGTTAGTACTAGAACAGAATCAATCGCGGGGAAAATGCAGTGCTGAAAAAGTCAGCCAGCCGGTCTATGGAACTTCTACACGTTGCGAAAAGCCTGTTTTCCTGGCCACACCCTGTTCAAGGAAGGCGAAAGAGCGCCAAGGTAGGGGAAGTTTTCTCAGGATCCGTTCTTACCCACATCGCCCTCTCCTTCGGAAACTTTTTCTGTTCAAGAAAGCAAAGAATCTCGAGAAATCGGATAGCAGTCACGAAGATTGGATGAAAATATCCCGCTGCTAACCCAAGTTTTTGAGAAATTTTGGCTATTTTCAAATTTCTGCTGTCCTTCACTCGCAGATAGAGAGGACTTGGAGTTCTGGGAACACGAACTGATAATCTGATAATTGATCGATTCTTTGGCAGGCACCCTTATGTTAATGGTGATGCAGCGCTTTGGAATTTGTGTCGTTATCAGTTGCTTGCAGTCGATAACGTTCAAGAACTCACGAATGTGTCCAGTCTTCGAGGGCTGACAACAGTCATGGCAATTCACCTCCAGACCCTGTTAAAGGGACCACGCGGTGGGCGGGGGGGATCAACGAAAGGGCC